CTCTTTATGACAGGTTGCCTTATAGGTTTCAATATATAGAGACAAAATAACCTTTTGGCTATTATGTTTTGACTTATGTACTCAAATAAGCATCTGAACACTCTAAAACAGGTATTATATTAAAGATGATAGATTTGGAAAACTACCAAAGGAAATCTCTGATACTCTTGACGGAGGCAGTCAGTTGGAGATTCCAACTGCCTATCCTTTAGATTTTTCTTAGCAGGCTTCTGTACTTAGTAGCAGCTGATTGGCTGTTACCAAAACTAAGTGGACTGTTAAGGCAGTCAACTGTAAAACTCTGCTAGGGCAGTCAACTGTGAAAACTCAGCTCTTGACAGTTGGGTCTTTAATCTATATAGAAGAAGCAAGGCTAAATGTAAACAACAACAACAACCAAAACAAAACAAAAAGGAAAGAAAGGAAAGACAAGGAGGGAGACATACATGAAAGGTACTTATAGTAACGAATCCTAAGCTTCCTTCTATGATATTAATGGATGCAATCACTTTTCTGTGACAATAGAATAGGTACAAATAAGTCAGATGGGGGAGGAGATGGCTTCTTCTTTGGTTGAATTCACAATGTTGTCACAGAAGAGAAATACCCCAAATACATTGTTTTAGACAGTTGTGTGAATTCAGTTCTAGATACTGAATGTTCAATCTACATTGTAGTCTCTATTCAGAAGAAACATGAGTAAAATACAAAAAGAAAAGGCAATCAGGGAGGAGTTAGAGGTAATTATGATAATGGGTAATAAGCTCCCTGCTGTAATGTTCATTTAATGCAATCAACTGCCTATGACAAAGGAATAGCTACCAATGAACTGGATGGGGAGAAGTTCGGGCCCTTCTTTGATACAATTTGCAGTCTTTGGTGCCAGAGAAGAGGGAAATTCAACATGTGTGGTTTCTCATGGGCATTTACATAAAACCCATAATAATTAAAGGCATGGGAAACTAGAGATGTTTAACTGTTGCCAGTTCAATTGTTAAATGAGTTGAAAATAAGTAAAAGACATTGCCATTTATTGTTATGTAGCTTCCAAGTTTGACTCTGACTAGTGAAAGAGATAGTGTAATGTCAGGTAAGCTGAAACATCTGAACTTAATGAATTGAGACTCATGTAACTGAAGAAAGTAGCTGGAGAGGTAATCAATACTTCTTCTCTGTAAAGAAGCTGTGAGGTGTCATAAGCACAGACAGTGTAGAATAGCTGCCATACTAATCTCACTGAATAAACAGTGAACTTAGAGAAACAACATAGCTGAAAAAATTTCAATTGTTTAAGATTCACTAAAGCTAAAATCTCTCTAGATTGGAAGTTATTGTTAAATAAAGGGAATATCAACTTAGAGAAAATGGTGCTAGTGAAAGAAAATGAGATAAAGGTTTGTATCACCCAGTTTAGTGATAGGTCAAGCCTAATCATTTCTGATATACTTGATTTTTTAAAAATTTGTGGCATCTTCATATGTTGCCTAAATCTGCTGAGTGCACAGATCTTGGTTCTAAGCTAATCTGTGACCAGGTAGTAATGATCTTCAGACATGCTTGTATTACTTACTCTTTTTTTTTTTTTTTTTACTGTGATAAAATGCCACTACCAAGCGACTTAGAGAGGAAACTGTGTATTTGGGATTCTGGTTCCAGAGGGTTAGACTCTGTGATGACAGAGTGAAGGCATGGGGCAAGCTCAGGAAGCTGAGGGCTCACATCTTGAATTGGGAGCCCCAGAAAAGAGAGATTGAACTCTCAATGCCTATCTTGAATGACATATTTCCTCCAACAGGTGACATGACATAAACCTCATAAAACAGTGCCATCAATTGAGGATCAAGTGTTTGATTTGTCTGAGACTATATAGTACTAATCATTCAAACCACCATGAACCTTAAAGTGCATTCTGTCACTAAAACAAAAGAATAAGTAACTAAGGCTGAATCCTGAAATAAGGCTATGCAGTTAGTAACAGAGCAGTTAGTGGACCTGAGACCACTTCTGCTGTGTCTCCCTTGAATCAAGTCTCTCCAGTCTCTTTTCTACCTGAGTGTTTACAGTCTTCCACAGGCAGTTCTTAGTGCTTCTGCCAAACATAAACCATGGCCTAATCCAATGAAGTTAAATTAACAATGTATGCCTACTTACTAAAAGGAATTAGAGCAATATTGAGGACAACAATATTTTAGGTCAACCGAACTGGAGACCTAGAGTATAATGCACTTCTACTAAAACAATGAGGAAAGCTCATGGGTACTAATGGTGCTATGTCATTTAATTTAAATGTTTAGGTAAATAATAGAAGATACAATGAGTATATTTCAACTTGGTGTTCAAATTATTCTTTCACAGAAACATAATTGAGCAAGCGCCCTGCTGGTATACTTTGTCATACTAGTTATTTTCTGTCTTTCCTTGCGACAAATTGATTCTCAAGGTGACTGAAAACTTGGACTTTTTATTGAAACTGTGTTTTTGTACAATATATTATGATAATAGTTTCCATGCTCCCTGTTTGTCTCATCCTTGTCATCTCCCCTCCCAGCTCCATGCTTTTTAGCCTCTTTCCCTTTAGAAAACAGATGCATACATGAAAGAGAAAGAAAACAAGAAACACACATACACAGATAGACAAAAGCAAAAAACAAAACAAAACAAAACAAACAAAAAACCCCCAAATTGGAAACCATGACATATAAGGCAAAGACCAGTAGCCCAAAATAATAATAGACAAAAAGTTCACAAAAATGCCACTGAGCTTGTTTTATGTTGGCCATGTAGTGCTAAGAATGGGACCTACCCTCAAGTGTGGTTCATATACCCAATGAGACTCCACTGAATGAAACTCAAGTTTCCCTTGCAGAGCAAGCTGATGACAAAGGGAGATAGCATTAGGTTAGGGATGTGATCCCATGTCTACCACCCTTCTCAAGGCTGGCATCCCATCTGGCTTTAACCTGTGTAGGCAATCTGCACGCTGCCAGAATCTCTGTGAGTTCACATGTGGATCTTTCCTGTTGTGTCTGGAAGTCACTGTTTGCTTAGAGTCTTCCATCTGCTCTATTAAAATCTTTCCAAGTCCTCTTTTGCAGAGCTCCCTGAACCCTGAGGGGAATGGTTTGATTAATACATCCCATTTAGGACTGACTATTCCAAAATCTCTCACTCTCAGCACGCTGTCCAGTTGTGGGTCTCTGTCTTAGTTCTCATCTATTGCAAGAGGAAGTTTCTCTGATGATGACTGAGTGAGGCACTCATCTATGGGTACATCAGAATGTTGATAGGAGTCATTTTATTGTTGTTCCTTTCACAGAAATATATTATTTATATAATATATATTTATAATATAATATATTTACCCTAGGCCCATGACCTACCCAGTCTCAGTTTCTTGGCAAGTAGAGCAGTGTTAGGTACTATCTCAGGCTTTAAATCCAATCATGCAGGCAGATCACCTTTGTAGATCACAAGGTTTGTAGCTGAATTGGAGGTTCCTATTCTCCTCTGGTAGCTTGATAAAGTCATCAAGCTCAACTTTTATATATTCACTGAGTTATGTAAGTGTAGTCTTCAACAATAGGGCCTTGCCCATAGTTTATGGAAAGTGAATAGTACATGAAAGTTTCAAATTTTTTCAAAGGTAGTGTGGTTGTGTATGCCTTTGATCCTGGCACTTGAAGGCAGAGGCAGGCAGATCTCTGTGTATTGAAGAACAAACTGGAGTTGCAGAAATGCACAGAGTAACCCTTTTCTAAAAGTAACCAAGTAAGTTAAAACAAATAGACCTCCCTGCTAGTATAAAAATAGTAAATTCAAAATCCACTGGATACTTGAACATTTTGCCATTAAATGTTCTTAAAGAAGCACTATTAGTGGTGCAGTTATCAGAAGCTCCCCACAGTCTCAGATTGTAGTCTACTTAAAGTTGTCAAGTTAGTCTTGTGTCTGTTTCCTGGTGGGTGGCAAAAGTCTTTAGATTCCTAGGTTAGAGACAAAAGCATCATTACCCACAGAGACAAGCATAGCCAGAGTGTCTGCATAAATCTCTTTTGAATTCCTATACTTCCCAAGTCCACATACTGGGTAGATTAAGCAATATTTTTTTTCCGAAATTCTGGAAGCCAGAAGTCTGATGTCAAAGTGTTACCGTGCTTGATTTCTTCTGAAGGCCCTGAGAGAATGATCTGGTCTGGCCTCTCCTGTGAGTTAGTAGATGATTACTTTGTCCCTGGCTTTGCTTCATCTTCTCTTTGCTTAACTCTAAGCCCAAGTTTACTCAGCTTTTAAGGACACTAGACATTTTCAGTTCTAGCATCTTTCAATGACCTCATTCTCCAAATAGGGTCTCATTCTAGGGTTAAGGATGAATTTGTTTATGGATGAGCCTTCCACAGGTCAAGAGATGCATCACAGGGTAAAACACACTGACATCAGGAGAGTCACCACTGAAACTGGCCTGTTATTGCTACTTCCTCACATCTGCTGGCTGGAAACACAACTCTGAGAAAAGCCCTGGATAAAGAGCACCCGAGACTTGATTTCTCACTATGCTCAGCAAGAACATGCAAGGAAGCTTGGGACCATGTAGACGACCTCAAAATCTACGCAAAGTATTGTCAAAATAGTAAAAGGAAAAAAATATTGTCAGTTCTATCATCCTTAAAACATTTATTTATCCATGTTTTTGTTCTTATAGTTGATCTAAGATCATGAATCTCACTTCTCCTACTGTTACCTGTGTTGAAGAAAATCCCAAGCCATAACCTCTCTGTCTTTCACAATGACCATAATTTTATATACTTTAAATGGACAGTAGGTGATAAATTTAGGATGTAGTCATGTGTGTGTCTATTTCAGGGTTTTGTTGGTTGTCCAATTGTGACTTGGGTGGTAGAGATCAAACCCAGGGCTGTGTGCTTGCTATACAGATGCTTTACCTCCAACTTTATCATCTACTTTTGTCACGTGACATAAAATACTTGTATTTATCTCAACAGATGGAGTCACCCATTATATACATAATGATTTTACTCTTGAATGTGTTTGAATTTTCATCAGGAGTGATATATAATAAATGTAAGTATCAGATTGTTTTCTTTCAAAGAGTTATTTATATTATTTCCTCATATATAGTTCAATTATTGCCATTAAACATTTTTTGACAATGTTTTTGTGTATTATCTATTTACTCTGACCCAGGTACCTATTAATGTCATTGTTAAAAAATGTTTCCAAGTTTTGTATACAAATTTTTTAATAGCACTTTGTCACTTCCAAGTCATAGAATGTTTACATTAAAAGGAGATTATATATGGGAAATATTTTATTATTTCAACAGATATAAAATCTTTTCCTTGATGTACGAATTCTCAGGCTATCAAATTAAAAGAAGTTCCTGAAAGAAATATGCAGCTAGAAACTTTGGGAATAGAAAGATTTTGTTAAAAAAAATTCCACTTCTATAGTGTACATATTTTAAGAACTTTGTGCATACTAGAACAAATGCTAGTATACAGTGGTTTTTAATAAAGGGACATGTAGAAGAAGTCAGACCTTCTGTTCACAGATGTGTTGCATAGACTTTGATGAGCTATGGATTGTCCCTGTTTTTGGATCTGAATATTATACTAAAGAATTTCTGAAATAGGTGTGGATATGAGCCACCATTAGAGTCTCACAGAAGGAAAGGACGTCAGAGAAAAGAGTGATTGTATCTGGCTGTGGAAAAGCATTTTGCTAAGGCTGGCATTACATGAAAGAGAACAATCTGTGTAGCTGATAGAGTGGGTAAAATTTGTGCAAGCATGTACGAGAAAAAGCACATTTCACAGACAGCATCAGGACTCGTGGTAAACAGTAGTTTGGAGGGAGCAATTGCAGAATCTGTGAGAGAAGGGGGTGCATCATTCAGTCTGACATGAGAGAAGGGATACAATGAAACTGTTCTGAAAGACCGGAGCTGGTGCATGTCATAGAGGTGCTTGCATGTGAGGCAAAGAAGTATTGATTTCAAACTGCAATCGTCGGGAGACTGTTTACACTGATATGCTCACATAGACAAATCTAAGATAACACTGAAACAATTAATGGTGTGCAAACAACATGGAGCATACAGTAAATTTATTCTTTTTTTTTATTATCTTTTTTTTTCTTTTTTTATTAAATTATTAATATTTTCACATATACTTTCCCTCTCCCTCTCCCTCCCCCCACCCCCATTCCTTCTCCCCCACCTCCAACCCACCCCCACCCCATCCACCCGCCACTCCCCACGCAGGGCAGGGCCCCCCACCACGGGT